ATTTAAAAACCGAAAAATTGAAAAATCGAAAAATCTAAAATTTCAGAAGTCAAAAAATTGAAGAATCGATAAATTGAAGAACTCCAAAAACCAAAATATCGAAAAATCCGAAAGTTGATAAGTCAAAAAATCAAAAAATCGAAAATTTAAAAACCCCAGAAATTGAAACATTAAAAAATCAAAAAAATTAAAAATTAAAAAATTGAAGTATCCATTAATAGACAAATCGAAAACTTAGAAGCTGTAAAATCTGAAATATTCAAAAATAAAAAAAATTGAGAATCGAAAAACTGAATAAGTGAAGAATTGAAAAATCCAAAAGCTGAAAAATCGAAAAGCCGAAAATTGGAAAAATCGTAAAGTCGGGCAGTTGAAAACTTGAAAAATCGATAATCCCATCGAGAAATCGAAATAGGCCAAAACCGAAAAGTTAAATTTTAAAATAATGTATAATTTAATTCAAAAAACAATCAGAAAATTAAAAAAACGAGTAATAGAAAAATCGAAAACGTAGGAACACCAAAATTAGATATTTTAAAAAATCAAAAAATTTGAAAATCGAAAAAGTGAAGAAGTGAAGAATTGCAAAATCCAAAAGTTGAAAAATCGAAAAGCCGAAAATTGGAAAAATCATAAAGTCGGGAAGTTGAAAACTTGAAAAATTGATAAATCCAATCGAGAAATCGAAATAGCCCAAAATCGAAAAATTAGATTTTAAAAAATTGAAAAATTTAATTAAAAAAAAAAAAAATCGGAAAATAAAAAAACGAAACATCGAAATCTCGAGTAATCGAAAAAATGGTAAAAATGGAACATCGATAAGTTGAAAAATTGAAAAATCGAGAAATAGGAAAATTGTTAAAACTGAAAAATCGAAAAATTTAAAAACCGAAAAATTGAAAAATCTAAAAACCTTAAATTTAAGAAGTAAAAAAATTGAAGAATCGATAAATTGAAGAACTCCAAAAAGCAAAATATTGAAAAATCTAAAACTCGAGAAATCGAAAAATCGAAAAGTCGAAAAATAGAAAAATCGATTAATCGAAAAATCGAAAATTTAAAAATCCCAAAAATTGAAATATTAAAAAATCAAAAAATCGAAGTATGGAAAAATCGAGAAATGAGAAAATCGAAATGTCGAAAAATTTAAAAGTCGAGAAGTCGAAAAATCGAGGAATTGAAAAGTTGAAAAATCCAAAAATTGAAAAAATCGATTAATAGAAAAATCGAAAACTTAACGCCAAAATACGAAATATCAAAAAGATTGAAAATCGAAAAACTGAAGAAGCGAATAACTGAAAAATCCAATAGTGGAAAAATCGAAAAGCTGAAAATAGGAAAAATCGTAAAGTTGTGAAGTCGAAAAATTGAAAAATCGTTAAATCCAAAAAATAAATAAATGGAAATAGCCCAAAATCGACAAATTAAATTTTAAAATATCGAAAAATTTTATTTAAAAAAAAACCGAATAATTAAAAAACGAAACATCGAAATATCGAGTAATTAAAAAGATGATAAAACTGAAAAATCGAAAAGTTTAAAAATTGAAGAAAAATTGAACAATAGGAAAATCAAAAATTTAAGAAATCAAAATATTGAAATATCAAAAAATTGATAAATTCGTAACTTGAAAAATTGAAAAATCGAATAAAAACTAACATCCAAAAATGAATGATCTAAAAATCGAAAAATCGGGAAAACCAGACGTCGAGAAAACGAAGTATAGAAAAATAAAGAAATGGAAAAACCAAAATGCCGAAAAATCGAAAAGTCGAAAAGTCGAAACATCGAGAAATCGAAAAGTCGAAAAATAAAAATGTATTGAAAATTTAAAAATCGAAAAATTGAAGAATCGAAAAATTGAAAAATCCAAAAATTGAAAATTGTAATACTGTAATATTGGAAAATTGAAATATCGAAAAATTTAAAACTCGAGAAGTCGAAAAAATCGAATAATAGAAAAATCGAAAACTTAGGAACGCCAAAATTAGAAATATTAAAAAATAAAAAAAAATTGAAAATCAAAAAACTGAAGAAATGAACAATTGAAAAATCCAGAAGTTGAAAAATCGAAAAGCCGAAAATTGGAAAAATCGTAAAGTCGGGAAGTCGAAAAATTAAAAAACAGGAAATCTAAAATTTAAGAAAACAAAATATTAAAATATCAAAAAATTGATCAATTCGTAAATCCAAAAATTTAAAAATGGAAGAAAAATTGAAGAATCGAGAAGCGAAAAAATATCAAAACTGAAATATCCAAAAATTGGAAATAAAAAAAAAATCGAAAAATCGGGAAATCGAGAAACCGAAGTATCGAAAAATAGAGAAATGGAAAAACCAAAATATCCAAAAGTCTAAAACTCAAGAAGTCGAAAAATCGATTAATCGAAAAATGGAAAATTTAAAAATCCCAAAAATTGAAATATTAAAAAATCAAAAAATTGAAGAATCGAAAAATCCAAAAATTATAAAACTGAAATATCGGAAAATTGAGAAATCGAAAAATAAAAAAGTCGAGAAATTGAAGAATCGGAAACTGAAAAATGCCACAAACGAAATACTGCAAAATTGAGTATTCGAAAAATTGTACAATTCATATTACTATTTAACATTTAAGTAATATTTATTCGACAAAATTGTGCTTAATTCATAAACCACAAATACAGGAGTACCTTATTTTATAAAATTTAAATAACATTTACTAATGTAAATTTTAAAGATGACGTCATCCTATTGTTGGTGGGAATGATTAGACAAATTTTGGTTTGCGTTTTACCATCTACACGATAATCCTAATGCACAGATAAAATTAATAATAATAAATCGGTCCAGTAGTTTCGGAGATTATCTGTCTAATGAAATTCCAATAGACAGACAGAGATACGGAAACAGGATAGAACTATTTTTTCGTATTCTAGGGGTCATGAAACCCCGAGAAAACATAAAAGTCGCCCGATTGACTCGACTGATATACGCACATTTGTGCAATTCCGCTTACATCTGGCGAAAATAGACTCAGTGTAAGTAGTTATTATCCTTATTATTATTCTGTAAACTGTTGTTTGAACATGCCGTGCTTGAGTACCCGGCAGAACAGCTAATTATCACAATATCTTAAAAAAGTTACCTATCCTTATAAGATTATCATTATCTTACAACGTTATTTAAAATAGTGTGATTTGAAATTCAAAGCATGCTACATTATGTTGTAATTGCTGACAAGATTTATAATAAAATTATAAATACAATTCGTCATTCTACAATGAAAGTGACAAATAATTTGAATTATCTAAGACTGTCGATGCTTGAATTAAAAAACAATGGAGAGCAACCAAGTGGATCTTTTTTACGTTTTTTGCCCTTATTATTTAATTTTTAACATACTTAAGCTTTTTACATGATTTCAATAATATATGAAACAGATACGTTTAAAAATTAAGCAGGGACATTAAATAAAAACACTTGGATCAAATACATTTTTTATGCGCCTCACACTGAGAATCAAATATGAATTCTTTTTTTGTAATGCAAGTTATTGAATCTAGGCTTGAGCGTTTTAACAAGATTGTGAATTCGTCCTTTTATGTTTCATTTTGAAATGTCACTAGGATGTTCTATTTCAGTTTATATATAATCCGTAGTTCGGTTTTGTTAGCCTCATGGTCATTAAATGTTAAAGAGTTTTCAATACACTGTTGGAAACCAGTAGTAGCTTTAACGTTGTAACACCCAGATCCGGGAATATCCCTTGTCTTACTGTCACTTTTACATCATCTATTGGTGGGTTCAATCCACGCTGAAAATGGACGTTACTAAAAGTTGTCATGTTTCTTTTTATCAACTTTTTCTCTCTTCGAATGCTTTGAAACTGACGACATTATATTGTGGAGTTTTTCATGTTCATTTTATCTAAAACTATTACAGTTTGTCACTATTTCACTTCTCGAGCGTAAGCGTTTTACGTTTTCTCGACTTTTCATGACCCTTAGAGTACGAAAAAGTAGGTCGCCCGTTTACGTCGGTTTGTCTGTCGTCTGTGTCAGTTTTTATTAAACAGAATGACCGTCCCCACCACCAATGGAATGACGTCATCTCCAAAATATGCAATTGTATTTTTATTTAATTTTTTAAAATACGATACTTCTGCACAGAAACCTTAAAATCTGGACTTTTAAAAAAAAAAGTGCGTTAAAAATAGAGTAAAATCTTTATAAATGTTACTTTTTTAATTCCTTGAAATATTTACTTTTCAAATATACCTTTAAAAACGGATTTTTTTTATATTTGCACTATTATTCATAGTATAAATATTTCCCAACCCAGGTTTTATTTCAAAGAGAACATAAAATCTCTTTAGTGTAAACATGTTATACCTTACATGCATAAAATTTGTGTGCAAATATTTCTTTTCTGCGAGTGAACGTCATTGCTCTTTCTGGTAAATTTTGTTGTTCAGCGGACTTTCTGAAGCTTAAACAAACTTGAAACACGAAATTTGCACACTTGTTTAAATTTATTTAGAGATTTTGTTTTATTTTTACTGTAATTTAATTTTAACAAATATTTATCCATGGAATATAACTTTCTTTATGTACCGCCTGCGGATTAATTTTTTAATCAAATCTGGCAAAACTACTTCTTCGCCGAAATTAGCATCTTCCTCGTTAAAAATGCAGATCGCCCCCTCGTTTCGACCCCAATTAACCCACCTTCAACCGCACCAAGCTTTCCCTCGCCCCAGAAGTTGCAAACAATCCACCCCAACTACAATCACACCCCTCATTCACATTTAAAACCGCCTAAGTCCTAAACTGCGTCACGTAAATAAAATATTAGTTTAGCACCATCACCATCATCGCAGTAAAATCAAATCTGTATCGATCTGCTTCGAATTCAATTGTCACGATGTACCGAAAAGTGGAGAAGAGACGTCCAATAAGGACGAAGAGTATCCTGCACAATAGAGGGAAAACACTGGGGTCCTGCTGTTGTTACTTCTTCTACTACACCATTCATCGCGCGCGCTTCCACAGTTCAACAACGCCGAAGAAGTCGCACCTGTTAAATCATACGTACGCGCTGCAGAAGCCGAGTGTTGAGACTGTGCTCGAGTGACTTTTGACCAGTATGACGGACCTGAATTTTGTTTTGGGTGTTCTGTTCTTGGTAAGATTTTGTCTAGTTTGTATATCGTGATTGGAAAATTGTGGGAAAAAATTTAATTGGTGGATTTTTGTTTGAAAAGCCACTGCCCTTTGAGGGAATTGTTTTGGTTGGTAATACATTTGTATTATTGGTCACGCCTGCAGTTTTACAATCTATTGTTAAAGTAGCTTGTTTTACAAATATATGTTCTCTGTGATTGTTCGCTCTTCGTATCTTGATTAATTCGTGGCGCGTTTTAATTGTGGGGGGGCATAATTTGAGTAATTGCATGATTCGATTGAGATAATTGAAGCCGTTGTGATCGTGTACCAAATTTAATAAGGAAATTTAATTTGAGACACTTAACTCACTGGGTTGCAAAGCTATTAGAGTTTGATTTTGACGCACACTCTGGAAAAAATATTGCCCGCGTCTACTGTTTGAAGTTATAAATAGATATCTTTGCAAAACAAGAAGCTAATTAGCGGCAATTTGGCCGCAATTTAAATAATCCACTCAAAATAAAACCACAAAAGATAATTACATTCTTATTCATAGATCTGGCCACAAAAACGTAATAATTTACTCATCCACGATTTTATTATGCACCCAAACGACTCCAATTAACTCAGATTCAAATTGAGTCCGAGCCTATGAATCACAAATGAACACTGAAAACGGTGTTTTGGGGGTTGTGCGGGCATTGGCGTAACGAGGGACGGGCTTCGGGGGATTAAATTTCAATTCAATGGTCCATTTTTGCGCTTAAATTATCCATGAACTCGGAAATTAATCCAGATTCAAACAACCTTTTTGTAATCATGTAAAAGACTAGCATTTCATTCAAACGTTACATTTTTTTAATGGAAATATTTTGTTTATAGACTTGTCTGGTTAAACCCACCAACAATTTGAAGAAGTCACTTCAAAATTTTACACAGAAAATCCTCCTTAAATTATATAAAATAACGTACCTCTATATCAATGGCTCATGAATCCGCCTTATTTTTTATTTTAGATATTCAGGTTTTTTCAAAAATCAGAATTTTATAATCATATTTTACGATTTAACTTAGAAACTGCTCTGAAGTATAATAGTTTATAAAGCGGTTAATTTAAACCCACTTTTCTCGCCCGAAAATTTTCCGCTTCTGGTTACGCCCCTGTCGTCTGGCGAGCAACCCCCTCGAGTTCACTCCACTCGCGAAATCTCTCCACGTTTTGGGGGGGCGTAAGATCAATACGTTTTCCACTGCACTGATTTGATTTTATGAATGATTGAATCCTCTTACTCAGAAAATCGATTGCTGTTTCACGGCTGAGGAAGCACGACGGCGGAGAAATTTTTCAGGCTGAAACTGAAGCGATTTTCGAGTTTATTGGGTCAGTTTCGAAAATCTGTGAATCAGGGAAAAGAACAGTTACCGTGTCGAGGAGGTTTCGTTTAATATAACAATTATGATTTGAACGGTCGATTGTGTGCGTTTCGAACTACTTTTCTCGATTGTTGTTTTGTTGTGTGTTTGGTCAAGTTTGTCGGAGGTGATTTTTGCGTGACTGGTTTGCGATGCTGGAGAAACGGGGACGTCGTGGGTTGACGATCCGAGGAGAAATTTTTAATTTTTCATTTTTCAATCGTAAATTTTTGGATTCTGGCGTGTTGATTTTAAAATATGGGCTGAAGTTATCGGGATACTAATAGTTGTGTCATCAACATGGTGTCAAGTTATTGCATGATTTTTCAGATAGAGCATAAAATTATTTACATTGTACGTCATTGAATTAGTATAATCTTTTGCGCTGGGTAAATAAATGATTTATAATTCAATTTAAAAATTGTTTCTACGAGTAACTGCCTGAAGTACAGCCCAATAAATCCTGCTTCTTTGAAAAGTTATAAAAAAAATTGCAATTTTTGTTTTCTGATAACCTTTGTAAAGTAGAAACAATTTTTCAGTTCTTCAATTTTTAATTTTTTTGTTTTTCAATTTTTCAAATATTGAATTTTTCAGTTTTTAATTAAATTTTAGTTTCGATTTTTGATTTTGTTTTTCCTTTCAATTATTCGATTTTGCATTGTTTCGATTTATAACCCTTTGTTTTTTCAATTTCCATTTATGTAATTTTTCGTTTCTTCAATTTTTTGGATTTGCGATTTTTCAATTTTTATTTTTTTTATTTCTTCAGTTTTTAGATTTTGCAATTTTTCATCTTTTCATTTTTTCAATTTTTCGATTGGAAATTTTTCGTATTGATTTTTTATTTTCTTTATTTTCACAATTTTTCGATTTTTCAATGTTCCGATTTTATAATTGATTTTTTTTCAATTCCAATTTTTCCATTTTTCGTTTCTTAAACCTTTCAATTTTTCATTTTTTTTGTGTCTTCATTTTTACGATATGTATCTATCTCTTTCGATTTTCCAACTTGTGGTTGTTTCGGTTTTTAAATTTTGAAAATTTGCAATTTGCAATTTCACGCGTATCCTGCGTCTGTGAAAAGTTATACAAATTTTTAAGATTTTTATTTTCTGATAACCTCTATAAAATAGAAACAATTTTTCAATTCTTCAATGCTTAAATTTTTTGTATTTTTAATTTTTCAATTTTTCAATTTTTAATTTTTTAGTTTTTAGATTTTTCGGTTTGCAATTTTTGTTTTCGGTCTTTTATTTTCTCTATTTTTTACTATTTTTCTATTTTTCAATTAATTAAAAATTTTTTTTCAATTTTTCGTTTTTTTGTTGTTTCTTCAGTTTTACGATATTCATCACTTGGAGTATTCCTTTTAAAATTTTTCAGTTTTCCAATTTTCCAACTTTTGGACGTTTCAGTTTTTCAAGTTGCAGTTTTTCGGTTTTAAACTTTCTGTTTTGCAACTTTTAGATTTTTAATTTTTTGTTTCTTCAATTTTTCATTTTTAAATTTTTCAGCTTTTCGTTTTTCAACTATAGGATGTTTCAATTTTTAATTTTGCAATTTTTTGCTTTGCTTTCTCACGAGTTTCCAATTTTTAATTTTTAGTTTTTCAATTCTTTAATTTTTCATTTCGTCAATTTTTACTTCCCGAGCGTAAGCAAAGGAAGTATTGTAATCGAGTCCGTCGGCCGACTCTCTACTTTTACGTTTTCTCGATCTTTCATGACCCCTAGAAGACGAAGAAATAGGTCTCCCATTTCCGTCTGTCTGTCCGTCTGTCCGTCTGTCCGTCTGTCCGTCTGTCCGTCCGTCTGTCCGTCTGTCCGTCTGTTGTCCCGGATTTTTATTAGACAGATAATCTCCGAAAGTACTCGACCGATTGTTGTGAAATTTTGTACTTATATTAAGAATATCATGTAGATGGTAAAACGCTAACCAAAATTTGTCTAATCATCCCCACCACTAAAGCGATGACGTCACTTCAAAATTGTACATAGTAAATGGGTTTTCAATTGTATAAAATAACATAGTCCTACACATGTAGTTTACAACTCTGAATCGACTTTTCACCCGAAACGTCCAGATTTTTGGAAAAAAATCAAAATTATAAAACAACATTTTGAAATTTAATTTTTAATATGCTAACCAGAATGCTTTGAAATGTTGCAGATGTTTTAAGGCTATAAAGAGCATCATAAATCTTTAGTCAAAAAATATTTGCTTATCCCCTCCAAAAACTTGATGACGTCAGCTCAAAAGTTTGTGGAATAAATCATATCTAAAATGTACAAAATATGATGAGTCTGTACTTGTGATCTATCACTCCATTCATATTTTTTGGATTTGCATATACAGGGTGACTCAAAAAAATTAATGAATGCGTAAATATATTTTATTGATTTAATCAGGAACTACAAAACCGAATGCTCTGAAATCTTGCAGATGTTTTAAGGTCATAAAGAGCATAATAAATGTTTAGTCAAAATATATTTGCTTATCCCCTCCAAAAACTTGATGACGCCAGCTCGAAAGTTTGCCGAATAAATCATATCTAAAATGTACAAAATATGATGAGCCTGTACTTGTCATTTATCACTCCATTCATATTTTTTGGATTTGCATATACAGAGTGACTCAAAAAAATTAATGAATGCGCAAATATATTTTATTGATTTAGTCAGGAACTACAAAACGGAATGCTCTGACATCTTGCAGATGTTTTAAGGTTATAAAGAGCATAATAAATGTTTAGTCAAAATATATTTGCTTATCCCCTCCAAAAACTTGATGACGTCAGCTCGAAAGTTTGCCGAATAAATCATATCTAAAATGTACAAAATATGATGAGCCTGTACTTGTCATTTATCACTCCATTCATATTTTTTGGACTTGCACATACAGGGTGATTCAAGAAAATAAATGAAAGGGTAAATTTATTTTACTGATTTACTCAGGAACTACAAAACCGAATGCTTCGAAATCTTGAAGATATTTTAAAATTATCATAAGCATGGTACATTTTTGATCAAAACGTATTTGGTCGTCCCCCCTAAAAAATTTATGATGTCACCACAAAATTTTGCTGAAAAAATCCTATCTAAAATGTACAAAATATGGTGAGTCTCTTCTTGTGATTTATCATTCCATTCAAATTTTTTCGATTTACATATACAGGGTGACTCAAAAAAATTAATGAATGCTTAAATTTATTTTATTGATTTAATCTGGAACTACAAAACCGAATGCTTTTAAATCTTGCAGATGTTTTAAGGTTATAAAGAGCATAATAAATTTTTAGTCAAAATATATTTGGTTATCTTCTACAAAAAACTGATGACGTCAGCTCAAAAGTTTGCCGAATAAATCGTATCTAAAATGTACAAAATATGATGAGTCTGTACTTGTGATTTATCATTCCATTCATATTTTTGGATTTGCATATGCAGGGTGACTCAAAAAAATTAATGAAAGCGTGAATTTATTTTATCGATTTAATCAGGAATTACAAAACCGAATACTTTGAAATCTTGGGAATATTTTAAAGTTATTATAAGCATGGTAAACTTTTGTTCAAAATGTATTTGTTCATCCCTCCTAAAAAAA